GCGCAAGAACCTGCTCGCCTGGTACGACAGATGCAAGCGGGACCTTCCTTGGAGGGCGCTGGTAAGGGGAGACATCGGGAAGCACTCTGCCTTAAGGGAGCTTTGGTGAAGTGACCGTGGTGTCTTTCCCTTTGTGGTGCATCCCTACCTTCATGGAAGCACTCCCAGCTAGTCGTGGCAGTTTCTGGAGGTGTCTTAGCCAGTCCTAGGTTATAGAAGACTAAGCATTGTACAATTTCTCGAATACTCTCAACAGGTAGTTCTTTCCTGCATATAATTGTTTTAATCCTGTTGTTGTTCCTGCTCTGTTATACCTGCAGCAGTGAGGCGCTATGGAAAAGGATTGTCCACATTTGCCTTTGTATTGCTTAGCCTGATGGTTTTTATTAGAGCTCTGCCTGCTTGTGCTCAGTCCGCAGCCAGTGCTTCAGGCACGAGAGGTGCTGAGGATGGCAGCTCTTTCACAGCGCAGTCTCCCTGAAAGATGCTGGAAATGCTTTGCCCTCTGTGTGTTAACACTGCCTGCAATCACTTCCTGTTGGAGGGGCTCAGGTCGGGACATGCTCCTCTCCTTGGTTTTGAACACCTGAAGTGACTCCTTGCTGTGGATATGTCACTCAAAGAAGCTGCTTGGCTGTCCTTGCATAATTCTTGAATCTCAGAAATTCGACGCTTGGGAAGTTATATGTTTTCTTTTTTTTTCAAAACCAAGTGGGTTCAAGAACTCCACAGTAGTTTTTAATTTTCACGCGCAGTGTTCCCTTTTGGGGTGGGGTCTCTCTGTCACCTTGTTCTCAACATGGATTCTCTCCTTCAGGCAGCGTGTGAGCCGTGATACCGACAGTACGTGGGGGTAGCAGGTGATCGAGTCCAGGGACGTGCCCCAAGCATGTGTGTGGGCCCCTCTGCGGTGTGGCATTGTAGGGGTGGATTCATCACCATGCTCTGGAACAAGCTGCCTTGGAAGCGGCCGGAGAGCCACTTGTATTTCCCCTGCTAAGGCACTGCAGGGTTGGAGAGCCCACTTTGGGCCTGGGGGAGCTCCTGTGGGCAGCATGTGGGGAAGGTGAGGGGTGGGAAGGGATCCCTTGAGCTGGATGCTCTGCAGTGCTTGTAGCCCGTGCTCACGTGGCCACGGCACGAGGTGTGGGTGGTGCTGGGGCCTCTGCTCTGATGCCTGCCCTGCTCCCTGCAGTGTGGGTGTCTGAGATCATGCTCCAGCAGACACAGGTGGCTACAGTGATCGACTACTACAACCGCTGGATGCAGGTGACTGTTCCTCACAGAGTCCTGTGCCCGCAGGCTGCCCCTTTTGGAGAACATGTCCACTGCCTGTGGCAGATCCCCAGCTGCAGAGCACAGCTCTGCTTGTCCCTGACTTGTCCCCTTCCCTCTGTACCACAGAAATGGCCAACACTGCAGGCTCTGGCACAGGCATCCCTGGAGGTGAGTGCCACTGGGACCGGGTGCTCTCCCTGCCCTGTGGCTCTCCATTAACACTGTGCTGTGTCTCTTGGAGCAGGAGGTGAACAAGTTGTGGGCTGGGCTTGGCTACTACTCGAGAGGGAAGCGTCTGCAGGAGGCAGCAAGGAAGGTGCTCTGGAGCTGGGGCGGGAGGGCATTTCCAAAGCCCTCTGTGGGTGGTGGGTTGGTGCTGGCTCACACCTGCCCTGCCTTGCTGAGGCTGTGAGCTGCTGGCACGAGGCTGCACAGGGTGGCATCCCATCTTCCTGTGGGCAAAAGGGGTTGCCTGCATGCACCTACCCCAGCTGCTTCCTGGACCTCAGCTCCCTCTCTGCCAGGTGGTGTCCGAGCTGGGCGGCCACATGCCCAGGACGGCTGAGGCCCTGCAGAAGCTGCTGCCGGGAGTGGGCCGATACACAGCGGGAGCCATTGCATCCATCTCGTATGGCCAGGTGAGAGCTGGGCATCACTGGACATGTCTCCCCTCTTTGCCACCCAGCCCCACTGCTGGCAGGGTCCTGCTGCTGGGGTCTCACTAACCAGGGGCTCCTCTTTAGGGCTGTGCTTGGCTCTTGCTCTCCCCTCACTTTGGGGTGCATCTCACCCACTGCCCAGCTTGGCCTGTGGGTTGGCCTCTGTGTTCCTCTGCATCCTGGGAGCACCCC